ATCTACTTAGGGGGTGGGGGACGGTTAGGGAGAAGGCTCCCTCTCCCCACCCCCTTAAGGTAGACTTTTCCTCAAAGAGTTTGAGACTAACCTGTCGCGGTTTTAAAAATCCGATCACATCCTAGTAAGGATTCAGAAACCAGATATGAGGAAGCATGAGAAAGGCCCATAACGCTTTATTTAGAAAGGTTGACACTTGACAGTTTCACGAACTGATAAACCTCTCCCTCTAAGGGTTCCTAACTAAGGCTGGAGACACTTTGTAGATCGAAATGTAATTTATCTGACATGTTGCTTTTTGCATGAGACCGAAGTACCCGAAGACAAACCTCTCACGGCTGAGCAGAGAAGGGAACCTTACAAAAAATAATCTCACATAACAGAGAGCCTATGCAATTACAACCGACCAAAACAAGATTCTGAATCGCGAGGAGGGTCGAAATTTAAAACTTTCGACCCTCCTCGCGATACTGAGCCTCCAGTAGGTCAGTGGTTAGAGCGTCCGAACTAGAAATCGGTGGGTCGACTTGTGAGCTCGATTCTCACCTGGTGCTGGGATTTTTTCTGAGCTTTCTGGTCTTAGAATTCTTCTGCTTCCAAAATACATATGAGCATAACTATTACTATTATGTATAAACTGATTTTGTCAAAATAAATTTGCCTGATTGTTAAGCAGTTTACTTTTTTAAAAAATTTGAAGTAATATTCTTCTTGTTTTAATGCATTTTTCCTTAAAACCATTATTTCATCTGATAGCAAGAACTGAAACAGTCGTCCTCTAATAAATTTCGAGTCAAATGAAATGGCCGTTGAAATTAACGACTCAACGTGTGTTATTTTTTTAGACAGTGTTTTCACACGCTTAACATACCACCAAAAAATGTTCATAATGTTGTTTACAATTTCTCTTCAAACATCCAAACGTCCCGAGAGAATCTGAAAACAGTTTGGGCGGTTATCAACGCAATACCTGTTAGGTGAGCGTGGCAACAGCGATTATTAAGCAATTATTGGATCTGTCTTTTGTATGATATGCAGAATTATGCAAATCGAGGATGGGGAGGAGGGTGTTATTAGCCTCGTCGTCCTATCATACCCAAGCCAGGTTCAAAATTTGGTTTTACTATTCATTCAAAATATTTACAACTTAGAGGCATGCTTTATTCGATATCTCTTAACTTTAAGGAGGCTCGACCCAGTATTTTTATAGGCACACCCTCCATCTTTGAATCTCTTATACTTAAACAAATCAATCTGTATTGTAAACGATTATAACACATGGATTACACTTAGACTAAACTTTATTATGGTATTATTTTTTGAGCGATCGGAATAAATGTCACGTGGCAATGACGTCACAATGGTTTTGGCTCTAAATCGAATTTCAGCCCTGTTCGGCATTTTCTTTTGAAATGCTTTATGCTACGTATTCTTCGGATACAATTGTCTTCCGCTGCGCGAAGTTTCACAAAAATCTATTTGAGAAATTTCGATATATCTTGGAATTTCTATAAAAAGGGTATAAATTATGCATGCATTGAAGAGTGGACTTAATAAAGACAAATTTGCTACTTTTTCGGAAAGATTTTATCACTCATTCGTTTTGCAAATGACCCTCATACACTCTAGAAGCCGCTGAACGCAAGTACACTAGCACGATTTCGAAACACATGAGAACGTATGAATCAGCGTAAAACACAATGCTGAGCTTAGTACATTAATTGATCAGTGTACTATTAAATTTCCGAATTTCTTGTCGATTGAAAGCTTTTGAAGTTGTCTCAACATGGGCGCAAAAGTGAGTGAACGTTGAAGCGATGTCATATACCTACATACATACATACATAAACTTTATTTATCCTCGGATTTTAGTGTGGCTTACATAGCTAGTATCTCCGATCCTAACTAATTGTAAAAGTTACAACATATATAAAATAATATTAATTAATGTAGTATTAACTAAAACTGTGCACTAACAATTTGCGCTTAAATTCACTATAATCTACAGTCTTTCTAAAGTGATCAGGTAGAGAATTCCAGTACCTAACAGATGAATAGCTAAAGGAATTTAGACCATATGTGGTTGTAGACGGCTTAGGAAGTGATAAAATATTAGTACCCCGTAGGGAGTAAGCAGTAGATCTTAACTTGATCAGTTGTTTTAAATAGCACGGATATTTACCAAAATGGAGACATTTGAATATACAAATCATCATATTTTGTATCCTCCTGTTGGCTAAACCACACACACCAGCCTTGTCTAGAAGAGCATCATAGTTCGAGTCCCAGTCCTTTAAAACAAATCTTAAAATACGTCTATTTAAGGTGTCCAGTTTGACAGAATCTTCTGAATTACAAAAGTGCCATATCATTGAACAGTAGTGAAAATGGGGTAAGATAAACGCTTTATAAAGGCGAAGCATAATTTCGGATGAGATAAGTTTGCCAAATCTTTTGAAGACACTGAACTGATTATTTATTTTTTTGCATACAGAGGATATGTGATCCTTGAAATTAAGTTCATTGTCTAGAGATATTCCAAAAAGATCCAGGCATCTTGTGGTTAAAAAGGAGAAAGGGTAATCGGTTTTGCCAAGAACCATCCCTTGATGTTTAGCAGGGTTTGCTTTCATCCCATTGTCTTCGAACCATTTATTTGCTATTTGTACATCATGATTGATCCGCCGTTCCAAGGCCACTGGGTCTACATCAGATGAGTGCAGTTGGCAGTCATCGGCATAAGTGTTTAATTTTACAGACTTAATGTGAAAGATGAGGTCGTTGAGGAACATGTTGAAAAACATGGGCCCCAGGACGCTGCCTTGAGGCACGCCCCGCTTCACACTCATCCAATCCGAATAAGTATCACCAATTTTCACTCGCTGCCTTCTATCCGTCAAGTAGTCACCGATAAGGGCGCAGCTGGATTCGTGCAAGCCATACGCTTTCAGTTTTGCTAATAGCAAAGCAAGAGGTATGGTGTCGAAAGCCTTTGACAAATCCATTGATATAACCGCCACGATCTCTTTATTGTCTAGACTGCGCCTCCAGTCCTCAGTCAGCCTAAGTAAAGATGTCTCACAGCTATGGTGTCTCCTGTAGGCAGATATGTATTCAGACAATATGTTCTGGTAAAAGTCGCCCATTTGAGCTGAAAGTAGCCTCTCAAAAACGTTATTGAGCGCAGGTAATACGGTCACTGGTCGATAATTGCTTTTGTTTAGTTCATCGTCCTTTTTAAATAAAGGAGTAACTTGACCCAATTTCAAGCGCGACGGATACTGTCCTGTCCTAATCGAGTGATTCATTGTTGCAGCTATAGGACCAGCAATCGCGTTGGCAGACTCTTTTAACAGTCGCGGTGGTATTCCGTCATAACCACAGGATTTACGGGAGTTGATTTTGAGTAACAAAGCTTCCACTTGGGTTTTATTAGTATATTGAAAAGCAAAATTGTTTCTCGCAGCGATCTGCTCATTGTTATTAAAAATCGCCTGAATGCTAGGATGTGCATCAAACCCTTTTCCATAAATCTGTTCAGTAATCTCTGGCACGCCATCCGCGATGGCCTCGTCCTTGCTCTGGGACTTCCTATTGTCTCGAGTTAAGCACAACATCAAATTCCCAAGCCGCACACGAGAATTTACCGCGTTTGGTTGCCCTCTGAATCTTTCCGAAAAATGTTAATGCTGTAGAATGGAAGAAAACAGCAATTTTTTTTATTTAACCGACAGCATTTAGGCTGCTTTGAAGCTCGGCAAGCGAACTTTGAGGTTCGATCGGGAGGAAGGAGGAAATCTTGAAAACTTTTAGTTTGAAATGGCTGAAGCCTTAGTGACGACTACTTACTCATGAAGGTTACCCGAAGGTAGTGAATAATTGTTAAATACACTGGTCTTACTTGAATTTTTCTCCACGTGACAGGGACTGTTAAGCCTCGCGACTCGTTTTCGCCGGTTCGCGGCTTATTCTCTCCCACGAGACGAAAATTGTGGGAAAACGCTGGTTACGCCCCAAAATTTCACAAAAATGCTTAGAAATCTAATTTTTGCTGTATAATTTACATATTTTAGCATCAGACCCCAAAGAGAAAAAGCAACTTTTTGAGAAATTACGGGAAACTTTTTCGAAAATCTCGAGGAACTTGTGGAAAGCCCTACTTGATCCATCCATCCATCCATCCACCTGTCCATACGCCCATCCATCCGCTCCATCAATCAACCCATATCATCCACCAACCGACCCATACACCAATCTATTCACCCTTCCACCCGCTCATCCATCCACCCAGCCACCCATCCATCAATGCATCAATCCACCCATATCATCCATCCATTCACCCATCCATCAATCCATCCATCCATTCATCCATCCAGCCACCCACCCATCCATCCACCCATTTCATCCATCCATCCACCCATCCATCATCCATCCATCCATCCATCCATCCATCCATCCAGCCACTCATCTACCCATCCATCCATGCAGCCATCCATCCATCCATCCTTCCTTCCTTCCTTCCTTCCTTCCTTGCTTCATTCATTCACGGTTCATTGCTTTCTACCCTCCACCATTCAGCTTTTTCTCCTCTCTACTTAGTTCTCAGCTCGGTGCCTCATTATTGTTTCATCTCGCCAAATAACGCGTAAACAGCGCGGGATGGCAAAACAACATCACAAATCACTAAGTCACTCTCTTCGTTTGAACTTTTGCAGAAAAATCCCCCCCCTCCGTTTGGGACGTAATAAACGATCGGTTCCTTATCGCCGAGTTTTAAAATTTCAAACATTTGCATGTTTTTAGTAATTTATAGATTTCGCTGACATTTTCTCTACACTGGCTAGCTGGGAATAAACATGCAGACTAACAGAGACAGGTACCTCCAATCCTTAGACTATTTCTGTGTTCCACATTCTTTCTCCGTTCCGGTGATCCGATCCATGATCCGGTCTCATAGCTTGGGATTCCTGTGGATAGCAGTAAATTGCAAACTGTGATGCAATCGCTCACAGGTAAACCGCGTTCTAACACACGGCCGGCATTTCTGCTTATTGTTTACACGAGGTGGCGTGAAACAATAATTTGCAAATTACAGGGTAAGAGTTTTTTTCTTCCTAATTAAGCTTATTAATTGAAAAGCTTCATAAGGTTACTTTGATTCGTTAATGAAAACAAGCTTTGCAAACAGTATTAAATTCACATGATGGCCTATCGCTAACATTTAGCTTAGCTTAGCTTAGCCTTAAGCTAATGTAATACATGCAACGAAGCCTACATGTATGTCAATACCATCCGGAGTTTGAAGCAATTTTAAAGAATGCATGACTTGCCCACGTACATCTTTCAACGCCTTATATAAAAACATATACGTTTGAAATTAGCTGGATCCATCATGGAAGCAAGTCATTACCGGTGTTCATTATTCTCAGTTATTAATTTTACTTTGCGTTATTTTCCTCACTTATACATTGTCCGTGACTGTGCTCACATGGTGGATGGCTCCTCCTAAAATGTTCTGCAATTAGTATAGGATTTAATGGAGCCGAAACCAATTGTGGAATTGCACGCATTTTAGGCCTCCTACTGATGAACAGTTGCGACACGTAGATATATATTTTTTAGCAACTAAGATAATTTGCAGTCTGTCTACTTTGAATTATTCTGTGATCTTGCCCAGTCAGCTGTTTTATTAATTGCACTGCTTACATCATGTACTCATACTTTTTAAATTGCATCGAGTAGCTTTAACACTGCTTCTGGGGATTTTGTTCCACGCTTGCTTAATTAAATACTTATCGTATCATCTGTACTGTACATGTTGCGTGACTACATTCTGTTTTAATACTGTAAATAATTTATTACATCAACAACGACAGCTGAAAAAGTATAAACAGGACGTAACGTGTCGATAATTCCAATAGTCGATAAAAATCGATCGTTGTCGATAAAAGTCGATATTAATTAATCAACAAATATCGGAAATCGATAAAAGTCGATCACAAAATTTCTTGTGATTATCGATTTTGATTGACTTTTGGAGTTAGAGTTCGATTTCAATCGACTTCTATCGAAAAGTATCGAAAGATAAAAAAACGATCATATGTAGAGCTATGTATGTTTCAATATTTTAATTTGCACTGTAACTAGAGCTGAGTAGAGAGCTACAACTTCTTCCCAGTAAAAACTCCAATATGAAACAAATCACCCCAACTCATGACTGAAATTATTTAGAGGTCGAACACAAAAGTACCGGCAGATGTGCGCCATTTCCAAACCCCTATAAATGTGAGTAATTTTCTCACCAAGAAATGTCATAAAATTGACCTGGAAAATTAGCCATGAAGACACCAGTGCAATCCAAATCTGAAGTAACTGAATGATCGTGATACAGCACTCTTCATTTGATGCAATGCTATAAATTGCGATGATCACTGAATTAATTTTTTGAAGAAAGATGGCATGTAAGTGTATTGTAAAAGCTTCCAAAAAAAATAATATGTGCAAAACGAGGTGCCGAAGGCACTCCTTTCGTTCATCGTAGTAAAACAGAAACATTGGGCCTTTGATGAAAGTACATGCAGAACAATTTTCATACGGAGACTGGTACTCAGAAGATGAAATCACGTCACATCGTTTAATTGTATCTGAGTACTTTGTATAAATCAAATTCAGAAATATAGCCTGGTGTGAAATTGGGTTTGGTAATCATATGGTTAATCTTTACACTAAAAAATACTAATGAATTTTTAATATATAAAAGAATATTAATAATATTGATAATACTATTTCAAAGAGAATGACATTATTACAAGTACAAAGTGCTCCCTTACATCAACATTTTTTAAAGTGACCTTTTGCCAACCCTTATTATGAAGTCGTTGCCAGAAATAAGATATTGGTTTTGCATAAAATAATCAAAATGGCTGCCATATTTTTTCAAAAGAGGGCTTAAATAATATTTCAATGTTTAACTCACTTTTATAACTGTAGCTAAAGACCTCAAACACTTAAGCTAATAATTATACCAGTATGGCTAATTGACACATGGCAGTGGGCACATTAATAAAATTGGCATTTTTTGCTGTAAATATTTTAGTTGCCAGCATTATTTTCTACTTGCTACGGAGACAAAAATAGTTGCAGCTTAAAATGCTGGTACAAATCACTGGTACTTACCAAGAAGAAACTGTTGTGAATGAATATACCTTTTTGGCATGCATGTTTTTTTTTCTCAGTTTTAAACAATTTGCAAGCTAATTACCTCCTTATTGTTTATATTTCTCCTTCTCACAGTCTGATGCGAGCTACCAGTTGAAAAGAAAATCATTATTGTGTGATCATGGATCAGGTGATGGATGCCAGTTACCCAGAGAATGCTACTGACTCTAACAATATCAATTCTTCATATCCTAATGCATCTTCAGAGAATTTTACTGATGATGCTTGGGCTTCATTTTCTGACAGTTATCACAAGGAAGTGCACAGGGTAAGACTTAATTTTCACAGTTGCTAAACCTGTGTAGATCTGAAATTTGAGGATCTTGTATTTACACCTGTAGCACTAATGCTGTCTTCATTGACCTACCTGGAGAGGAACACTCATTATCAATTCAGCCCCCAAGTCATTTTTGATGAATCCAGCTGTAGCTGTATCTATTCGTAATTATTTTCAGATAATTTTGTACTCATTAGCTTCATGCACAACAGCTCCCTGTACTATGTTGAAACTGATATTACAGCTGACACATGAAACAGAACACAGCTGGTCTTGTTTATTTAGAATTAACAGCATGAAAATAATTAGATAAATTCATTAAGTTGCTAAACCTGTGTAGATCTGAAATTTGAGGATCTTGTATTTACACCTAAGCATCACGTTGTACATATATATAGAGAATTAAAGACGAAGTGTTTGTGTGTGAAGTTGGACAGCTGGTACTTTGTAGGTGATCATATCAGACTAAAAACTACTATATGGGAAGGTTTCAGTAACAGTTTTAAATGTCAAAATATTCAAATTGAAGGACTGTTGTAAGGCTGAGGCCAAACGTTGAACTTTTCATGAGACGTTCAAACCAAACTCTGATTTGGGTTGACCTAAATCAAGAGCGTCTGTTGGGTCAGATGTAAATTTTAGGACATGTCGAACCATTAATCAGACCAAAAAACAATTTTAGCCAAACGAGACTTATTTAGTTGTTTAGTTCGCAGCATGTGAAGATCAAGAATTGCCCTGGAGACAATCTTCAGACGTTCTCTATTCATTGGTCTGAAGCAGATGGATAGAATGTGTTGGACGATCCAAACTCATTCAGATGAACTTAAATGAGCCAGACGTGAAACTTTTCATGGACTTTACTCAATAAGTTTGGTTCATCTCATGAAAAGTTCAATGTTTGGCCGAGGCCTTAGAGACATGCTTTTTAGTGTGATCCTAGCTGATTGGCCCCATAGAGTGTATCATAAAAATATCTAGGATTGTCCTGATTAAATAAATGTAATATATATATAATTATAAAATTATTTGCATTTAAGACCTTTTTTTTAATCAAGTGATACTTTTCTTTGTAATGATTTGAATTACAGTACATCAGTCATGAGCTAATTAGGAAGCCATGTTTAAAAAAATATGATAATGTAATACAATTTTATTAAATTTACTACATTAACATTTTTTCTGTTCTTCTTGTCGTTGTTATTGTAGAAACAAAATCCTGAAAATAAAGCCAACTGTTTTTCTCTGCTTACATTCTGGTGGTTGAACTGGTGAGAAAAATAATTTATTGTGAAAGAAACATTTCGGACTGCCTGTGACATGAATATGACCATGCACTCCGAAATTTGTCTTTTGTTCTGTCATCTTGTTCCAAGAAAAAAAGACAATCAATGCTTAACAGTATCCCAGTTTGACAAGTATGCAGTTCAGATTTTAATAAAACAGATTTGTGACAAATAAGTACATTTTTCTGGAAAGAACTTGGACTTCTTAAAGAATTCTCAAAGTTTTTTTTTCTGCGCATGGTTGTCTTACATTCGAACAGAACAGAATTCAAGATGGGGTTTTTTTTTTTAAAAAAATGTACCCATTCACTCTTGTAGTAAATAAAATCGATATAAAAGTAGGAATTGGAATGTTGAAAAGTCACATCTGAGCACAGCTGAACATTATGGTGTACTCAATAATATTTACGGTATTTTTAAGTCTTCTTTAAAAGCACCAAAGGCCCAATTGCAGTGTTATTAATTTTTTAGGATAATTAAAACTGGTTATAAAAGACCGCTAGAAGACAAAGATTTATGGGCATTAAGAAGAAATAACCAAGCTTCTTATATTGTACCAAGACTGAAGAAGAAATGGCTTGAGCAACAAAGGAAATGCAGGAGATTGTAAGTATAGTAATGTTATGACGAATTTACTACTAACAGTAAACTTATTGTGCAGCTTTTAATGTTAAACCTTGCTCCAATTGTCATTGATAATAATAATAATAATAATGATGATAATGAAAAAATACAATAAAAAATTATATATTGATCAATGTCACAATAGAAATGAATAGAAATGAAAATGAATATGACATGAATTTGAATTCATAATAATTTAAGCACGTTATGCCTAGCTTGTGAAGTGAAATAAAGATAACTTAGAATTGGATAATACTTAGGCATTACCATTATACACTACAAGAACATTATATTGTTCTACTGACAGTGGTATTCCTCGTTGAATGGATGAGTTACAGATAACCACCTGCCAGTATAATTATTGAAAATGTTGATTACTGTAAAATAGTACCTATAACTGAACAACAATCACGCTTATTTTCAAAGAATGTAATTTTGTTTGGTTTTGAAGGAGTGAAGTTAGAGGAAATCAAGAAAAAGAGGTAGAAGATGAAGATGATTACAAAGAAACTGATAGTTTGTTAGGTAATGAACATGAATCTGAAAATGATGGTGAAGATATATCCATAAGAAGTAAAACAAAGAAGAAGAAAGGCAAGAAGGAAAGAAGGAAAGAAAAAAAGGCTTCCTTGGTAGCAGCCCTTTGGAATGGATTATTTGGAGCTACTTTCGCAATAGGTGTGATTTGCAGGCTCTTACATGATGCTCTATTGTTTGTTCAACCTCAGCTTTTAAGGTAAATGTTTTAAAATTTGTTTTGACAATGCATCTAACAGTACAAATAAACACCTTATTGGACGAGCCACGACAGACAATGACACTCTAGTTTGATTATCAGACCTCTCCCCTTATCACTCCTCTGCTCCCAGAAACGACTAATACTCAGGCTAATGACGTATGAACGAACCCGTGCGAAGCAGTTAGGGCTCCCCTGCATATGTCTACGTGAGACTGCTGACCAGCCGTGTCTCGAGTTTTACTTGTTAGCCTAGATTTCATTTAACCACATTCCAAGTAGCCTAAAGAACTGAGGCGTTTTTCGTGCGAACGAAGCACGAAGTGGACGTGGAGCGCGAGACACGCGCAACAGGAGAAGGCAACCCCCCCCCATCGTCCGAGTCTGGAGCTCCTTGCTCGCCAAAAAAAAAAACCGCGGGAAAAAATATTGGTGGCGAGAAAAAAGAAAAGGAAAATTAAGAAAATATTGTTGTTGTTTGTACAGATCTATTTGCTATTTTCTTTTTTAGGTTGTTGGTTGAATACACTGAAGACAGAAGTGATTGGTTTGGGGAGTGGAGGGAATGGAAAGGTTATGTTTATGCTGGATCAATGTTTGTGGCAGCAGCTATTCAGTCTCTTGCTCTTCACCAGTATTTTCAAATTATGAATACAATTGGTATGAGGGTTCGTACAGCTATCATCGGTTTAGTCTATGAAAAGGTACTGGAAAAAATCGTAGGTTTCCAAGCGTACTATTAGACCCAATATTAAAGAATCTATTGCTGGGTCAGTTCACACTGTAACTTAACTTGCAGTAAACATTGATGCTAGTATTTTTAGATCGTTTTCACTGTCACGCGACCAAAAATTAAATTGGAAACCGTCCAGTGGAAGAAGCCAAGAAAATGACGTGCTATAAAAGACTAATATATAAACAATTTGTCCAAATCTCAGGTCTTTGTGGCCCACAGTTTCTGAGTTATTTGCCGAAACGTTTCACGCACCCTTGTAGAGCTTTGTATAGAGACGCCATATTGGTGCACCGTTTTGGTGCACCAATATGGCTGCCGGAAAACATCTGGAGTTCACTTTTTCTATAAAAGCTCTTTGTTTTCGCTCGAGAACTAGCATAAGCACGCATAACCATATCTTCTAATACTTGAAGTGGTTATACTGCTGAAAATCAAGAGGAGAGACTTTTTTTTCAACAAGACAGCATTCCTATTTTGGTGTCACGCAATGTGAAAACTCGGAAGTTCAAATTGCTGTATTTTCGAAATGAAACGTGCTACGGAAATGGAACCTTATGCAAAGATTTACCTTCTGTTTGTCTTCAACCTAGTGTAAATAAGAATTCGTAAAACCTCGCTATTTTGACTTTACAATGTGATGACGTCACAGTGAAAACCATCTATAGCGTAGCCCCATACTTAAGAAAATGCGGTAATCTACCCATTCGAGAAATTTTTGTAATCACGTGACTGTACTTCCAACCGACCAACCAACCGACCGTCCGTCCGCACCAGAGGCATACCAATGTAAAACAACTCAATAAACAGGTATGGCAACTCAAGGTTTTTTTGGCGGGGAATCGCGTAGCCACCCGCTTCTTGTAAAGCAGAGACAACTAAAGAGTCAATAAAGACGAAAACGGAAAGCGGGAATTGTTCCTGTATCCGTGTTGTCTAAAGTATTGAGCTTAGATTAATTGTCATGTCCACAAATTTGGAATATAGAAAAAGAGAAAGTAGGCGACAGGCCAGCGAAGCTCAACCAGAAAAAGAGCGACAGAGAGCTAGAGCGAGGGCAGGCGGCCCAGACGTAGCGTGTGTCAATAGCGTGGACAAAATGGGATGAGTCGAATCTGCCATCTGACACTCTTACGAGCCGCTACATTTAAAAACCCTATTATCGAACTAAAATAGCCCTGCAGTCAAAATATAACAAAACAAAGCTAACATACCTTTAACTGAACGTCTCCTTGTCGGTCCTGTCCGGTTAAAGTGACATTTTGTCGAGTTTTGAAAACCAGGCTTTAGCATTACACTATTTTATATTTTGTTCGAACAAAATATAAATATTATCAAGAGCTTCGCTTTTAGCCCTGGCTAAATCTACATATTAGCTAATACATAGTTTGATTTCCTTACTACTGTGCTCTGAGCGCGTACATGTTATTTTAGAACTAAAACGCGATACCTGTCTAGCTTTACTGAGTACATACTTAGCGATCGTATGAGAATGGCCATCGAAGCTGTCACAAGTATAGCGTAAAACTATCGAGAAAGTATGCGTCTTTGATGGTCATCAGCCTAGTCCCTAGGCGTTCTCGGTTCAGTCAGTCCTAGACTCACTGCGAGCTGTGACGTCACCGAGAACGCGCGGACAACGGGGCAAGAGAGAACACCTAGGGGCTAGGCTGGATGAGCATATTATTCCCCAGGATTCTTACACGATGAAGGACACCCCTGTATGGTAACAAAGATACATTAACACTGTATCACGTTTAGTTCTTTTTTTCTCATCAACACGTACTCATTTTTAGCGCCTAGCAGCGGAAAAAAACTTTATTTATAAATATTAACTTCATTGTTTACTGCGAGTAATGATAAACTGATCCTGGAGTAGATTCTAATCGGGCCATTGGCAAGCTGGAAAACCTTTTCTTTTTGAGAAGGCGTCTTTTCCATTTCTTTTTCTTGAGTTGTAACATGCATGTAAGTTTATTTCAGCCATCGCATATACTCATAACAGCTGATAATGAGATTTTCACATCGTTAACTGATTTTTCTGTCATGTTTAAGGCCTTGATGCTAAACTGTAAATCCAAAGGAAAGTCAACTGCAGGAGAGTTGGTCAATCTGATGTCAGTGGATGCACAGAGACTAATGCAAATTATAACATACATGAATTGTCTGTGGTCAAGCCCACTTCAGATTGGTGTTGCACTGTTTTTCCTTTATAACACTCTTGGATTGTCTGTTCTAGCGGGACTGGGAGTCATGCTGCTTCTTGTTCCACTTAATATGTTGTTTGGAAGTAGAATGGGCGCTCTACAGGTAATTGTCTGTTATTATTTCGTGTAAAAAAAGTTTGAAGGATAATATTGATCAGTTTATTGCCTTTTTACCACTTTTTTTGCGGGCACGTAGTTTTAGAAAATGAAAGAGGCAAAATGTATTTTGCAAGACGTTTTAATCTTAGAACCTGGCAGACGAATAGAGTTGATAACAGTGCACGCGTAGTCGAAAAGAGTCGTTAAATTCCATTTTTCCTTGAAATGTCCTTTAATTTCTGTTATATTCCTTGAAAAGTCCTTGAATTTTCTTTAACTTTGAAAGTAGTGGCCTGGAAAGTGTTTTTTAAATGCCTTTTGGTTACCTAGGGCAGAATATAAAATCAAAGCCCAGAGAAGTTATAGGTGATTTACATAAAGCGTTTTGTGGTTTATAAAAGAATTAACTATCAATTCAAGGCAAGTGGACTGAAAAATGTAAAGACACTGGTGGAGCAAACAGTTAAGCATTAAAGTTCTGTTAGCATGGATTGGGAATATGATTTATGTACAAATCGGTGACTTACATTCCCAGCAGTTTGTCATTGAAAATGTATGAGGCCTGGATAGGAACACAAGCATATGATTATGTTATTTACGAAAATCAGCTTTCTGCATGTTGCAAAAAGTTGTTGCAGAAACACCTAGAGCAGCTCAAGTTCCGCCCCAAATCAAACTTGTTTTGCAGCAATTGACGTGACACCTGTGTGTGGCTTGACTTTGTTCCCTTCTGGGAAACAAAGAAAGCGCGTTAATGCAGTTGAGCTGTCCAGTGAGTTTACAATCATTTTTCAATTATATGCTTTAACAGGTTAAGCAAATGGCTCAGAAAGATGAAAGGGTAAAAATAATGAATGAAATTCTAAGTGGAATAAAGGTAATAATACATGGTACAGTACGATATCTACCTCATTCCTTTTTAAGATTCTGTCCCAATAGAATGTCTTTGCAAAACCCGCCTGCAACGTCGGAAACTAAAATAGTTTTTAGACTGGTATACTTGATTTACCTGCATTCACTGTTAGTTTCTCAGTTCTCGCTCTTATAATTCTCAAGTGTCACACCTTTTTAGGTCTTTGTTTTCAAGATTTTAGTTTTTCAAGATAGTCATCGTCTTTTTTGCTTTTTTTTTTTGCTGGGATTTTTTTACCCGATTGTTTCAGTTGTAGGACTTTAATTCAACACCGGTACTTGCTTTGTAGCGAAAAGCCATAACATTTCGTGACCACCCTTTTTTTCTTCGTCATATGTATGTTAGTTTTCGAGGTTTTAAGCTTAAGATGAAAAAACCCTTATCCTACCCTAAAAAGACCAGTACTTGCTTCGCTACGATAAGCAGTACTTATCTCCTAACATTTCCCTGGGTAAAAAAGAGGATTATACTGTAAATTGATCTCGTAACTGTTTATGATAATTTACTCTCATTTTCAATGCTTTTCTTTTTTTTTTTAATCGAACGTTGTAACTTTTGATGTTTCTTATTTCAGCCAGATATCCTGACAATCAAACCAAGCCGGTACCTTAATTAGAAAGTGAATGATATCAGTATTATTTAATTTAACAATGCTTTCTCCACTTATATCACAGGTTCTGAAGCTTTATGCATGGGAGGAATCCTTTATGAATGAAATAAAGCAAATACGCTATAAAGAGTTGAAGTCTCTAAGAAATTCTGGCCTCTGGGCCTCGGGCTTTAATTTTACATTTGGCTGTGCACCAATACTAGTAAGTGATATAAGATAACGTACATAATGATGAAATACAACATTACTTTGTACCACACAAAAATTCTTAGCCTGCTCACAGACCCCCTATTTTCTTTTCAGAGATCGTCGAAATGTCGAAAAAAAAGAAAACGTCTGTGGACAGGCTAGAAATTATTAAAACAAACACACAAGACCTGAGGCGTGTAAAGCCCCGTGCAAACGGACGCAACATTGTTGGCCAACAACTGCCAACATTGTCGGATGTTACATGTTGTGCCCGTTTGCACACCCTTTGCATGTTGTTGCGAAAGTTTGAAGTCGGTCAAACTTTTGAGCCAACAATTCCCAACATTTCTTTGTTCCGTGATCGCCGAAGCGTAACAATGTTGGATCTGTTTGCACAGCTCTTCCAGAATTTTTAAGGGTACGCAGGCACATTATACGTGATCTCCAAAGTCTTGGGGATTGCGTCCTTTCTCACGATGCACTACGGGTCTCAACATTGTTGGGAGTTCCTGCTTCCGTTTGCACGTAGCTAAAAGTCTGACCGGTTTCAGACTTTGCGCAACAACTCCCTACAATTCGAAACAAAATGCAATAGGGCGGGTGTGCAAACGGACGCAACGTGTAACATCCAACAATGTTGGAAGTTGTTGGCCAACAGTGTAGCGTGCGTTTGCGCGGGGCTTTAGGTTTACTAAATCACTTCGTCAAGCGACTGAAACTTTCAGATATTTATTCGAAAGTCCGTCACCACGATATGACAGTTTTTGTGTTGTATGACTTTGTGTGTAAGATCTTTTGATAAACTAATGTGAACCTATTAGCTTCATTTACATCTCTTAAATGCAATAAAAACATAGTCATGCATGAGCAGCTTTTGTTAAAAAAAGGAAACAAACAAAAGCGCAGCCGTAACATTAGTGTCTAAGAAAAACAGTTGCCAAATTTTCATATAACACGGTAGTCAGTTCCTAGCGTCTAGACATTCAGTTTTTTTCCATGTTCCCGTTATTTTTCCTCCTCAGTCGCTTAACGCTTTTTCCCGATGCCTTGAGTACATGCTTCGTAAAATGTTGGAGATAAATAAACTTCATATTTTGTCCAGTTTGTCTTTCTCTTATTATTAACATCTTAAAAGAAAAAAATAATAATTATAAAACGTCCTAAACCGGGTCTGCTGACAATGAATGGTCATCAGACACAACGAAAATTACCGCATGTCCAACAAAGTCTTAACTGTATTTGGATATGAATTCCGGACAAACTTAACCACAAAACGTTAATTTTGCAGAATAAAATTTACCTTTAGTGCATGTGAATGGTCGCATCAAGGAAATAATATTGTTTCAGCAAGTATATGGGAGATATCCGCCTCTTCCTGCGAATACCAAGCTCAATTTTCGTTAACGACTCGTAACATGTCACCGATCAAATTATTGCGGTTTAGTCCGACCAAAATCGGACCTAGCCGAACAAATGCTTTTTAAAGAAAGACACTTTAATTCTGTCATGCTCTCCTCTGTAAGTTACGGAGACCTAATTCAGTGGGAGAAGGCGAAAATTTAGCATTTTTCCTCTGACGTTAGTTGAGCTGGTTATGATCTATCCTTTGCTCGATTGTGTGAACATTTTCCTCGACCATGTCCTTTTGTTTTCAGGTTGCCGTTACAACCTTTGCTATCTATATATTTACTGGTCACCAACTTACAGCCAGCAAAGCGTTTGTTGCTTTGGCACTTTTTAACGTGTTACGATTCCCACTGGTCATGCTTCCAGATGTTATAGTCACATTGGTCCAGGTAAATATCACGTTGGGGTCAATTTAACAACAATTTTGCAAGTGTTATGTACAATTCAAGCTATTGTTTTAGGGCCCGTAAACAATTATGTACCTGTAGCTACTCTGACCCCTGGTCACATACTTGAGAAGTGCAGTGAAATCAATATTTTTCAAAGTAAAATTTTCTCCAACAGTTTCTTGCACCGTTTCTGACTTTCTTCACCGACGGAGTCAAAAACTACACATCACTATCGTTTGCTCTGATGATCAGAATTCCTTTTTGATATTTGATGCTGATTCTTAACCTATTTCTTTGCCCAGGCCAGAGTTTCTTTAAAACGGATTCAGGAGTTCTTAGACAGGGAGGAACTGGACCCTAACAGTGTACAGAAGACGAGATGTAAGTTCACCCTCAGTAGTCTCATACTAGGGACCTTAAGCAAGGACGACGACGACGCCAGTGAAAACGTCGGTAAAAAAAATGAATTTGCGTTCTTTCAAACTTAATCGCGTCTGTTTGGACCCGCTCAATATGTCAAATACAGGCGACTTTTCCTGGAGTGAAATTCTTAAGAATCTTATTCAGGTTAAAAAAGATGAAGGAAAATTCGTCGTCGTATGTCCACGACCTCCACAAATCGTCAAATTAGGAGGTTTCACGTCGTAGTCGTGCAGTGGACGTCAAAGAAATGTACTAAAAGGCGTGATGCACGTGCAGAGCTGTTGTTTTGATCATTAAACCTATTGTTTTTTTGAAGTCGTCGTCGTCGTAGTTGCTTAAGCTCCCTACTGACGCTCTGCGTAGTAACTTGAGCCGCCATTTTGCATGCACATAAGCGCATGCGCATCGCAAACCAAATGTCGTCTGTTCCTAACCTTCCATTTTTCTTACTTTTAAATAATATAAGCACTGTGATATTACTTGTTTGCTTTCATTTAACAGACGAACGTGCGACTGCTTTGTTATTTAAGAAATTTGAAAAATGACCAGTGCAATTTTTTTTGGATGCCATAATGTGTATAACTCTGATAAGAGTAGCTGGTTAATGTTTGTTTGAAGTAACCTCTGACACTTGAGAAATAAGAGGTTCTTTTAAGTTATATTACCACATTAGCAGTGCTTATATCTGAAATCCTTTTGTGGTGACTATTGTCCTCATCTCTGTTGCGCTCGCCCAACGAAACAAGTTACCCACAACTTTTGATTCATTTCTTTTACCATAGCGTATTGGTACTATCCAGTTGGGGCACGGTTCTCGAAACTTCCATGAACTTTTCAGCCCGAAGTCAAAAGTTAATAATGCAAGCACACAAACCAGTCAATTTGTTTTGATAACTGGTAGTTTTTTTGTGTGTATTATTTCAGTGTCCTCATCTTCAGTTACAATAGAAAATGGTTCATTCACTTGGACTAGCAAGGACTTGCCTGTGTTACGTGAGTAAGTATCTGGAGTCGCGCAACTGTTGATAATCGTAATTAATCACCCAGTTCTTCAGTTTAGTCATTCAGCAGAAACACGTACACATGGCTAGTATTGCAGGCCAGTGACCTAGTGGTTTTCTGTGTCAGGACATCGCGCCAGTTAGTAATATACCGCAGTGCGCAGAGTTATCCATATTAGGTGTTACTTTCCAACAAATTGTAAATACAGTAGTCACGTGCGCGCGAAGGTAATTAAGGCGAACAAGTCATTATTCGTATTAGGATCTTTACGTAAGGAAGGAATGTCCCAGGAGGAAGTAGATCACCTTTTTAACGCAATAGTTTTACCAAATTTTTCTTACGCTCTGCCGGTTTATGGTGCCTCAGATTCCGACCTTTCTGTAATACAGAATTTTTTAGACCGGTGTATAAAAAGAAAGTTTATGTCCAAGAATGTAAATATCAGGGACTTGCTAGAGAAGGCGGACAAGACACTCTACAAAAAAAGATCGAATGACCCCGAATGTCCTTTATTCCAGTTTTTACCTAAGGAAAAGAACACGAGGTACAATCTTACAAATACGTCAGTCTCTGTCCCTAGAATCTACACTGACAGGTTTAAGAACGTTTTTAGTAACAGAATAATTTTTACATATGATATGTAAATAGTTTTTTTTGAGTTTATATTGTAACTTAGGATATGTAATTTTATCTTAAGAAAAAAAGATTATTATTATTATTATTATTATTATTATTATTATTATTATTGTGTGTACATCAGGTCTCATTAGAAGTTTCATTCTGTTCTGTTTACTTTTTTTGATTGTTCTGTTGTTTAGTATCTCGCTCAATATTCGAAGTGGCTCCCTGGTAGCTGTAGTTGGTCAGGTTGGCTCTGGAAAATCTTCACTTCTTTCTGCAATTCTTGGAGAAACGGAGAAATTACAAGGAAATGTTTTTGTAGAGGTGAGAATCTTTTGGCTACTGATCAGGTTAGACTGGTGAAGAAATTTTATTTAATTTTAAAATGTAACAAAGTGAGAAAACAACATTTTAAATATGCTAACTATGTATGCTATCGATTTTGCAGGGTTCTGTGGCATACGTCTCTCAACAAGCTTGGATCCAGAACGATACAGTGCGAGAAAACATTTTATTCAGCAGGGCATACGATTCTACTCGCTATAAACAAGTGATTGATTCGTGCGCATTGAAACCCGATCTGGAAATTCTTCCCGCGGGTGATTCTACCGAAATTGGTGAAAGAGTATGAAACACATTTTTATGTTCTATTTGTATTTAAAATTTTTACATTGGTCGACTGTTCTCCATGTACCGCCGGTTATTGTGACCTTAAGAAGTTACACTGTAGGTTTGTCATATTCACCCAGGTGGGGGCATTCGTTGTCAGAAGCTAACCTGGAAAAAGTCTGGAAAATGGAGATAAAGTGTGAAAGTCTTGAGTTGTTTTTTTCCACGCTACAACATGTGTTTTATAAGTGACTTTTTTTTCGTTTTGTTCAAATTTTATTCAATCTCGCCCGTACTTTTGCTGCAGCGCATCATGAAAAAACGCTTTGTTTCTTCCTCTGTTAATCACCTATTATATTCGATAACCTCAAGTCTGGAAAAGAAATTATTGTTTTGGAAAAAAGTCTGGAAAAAGTCTTGAAGTTTGACGCCAAAAATCTGTACGAACCCTGAGTGCAGTTTGTTCTGACTTCTCCAAAATAAGATGAAACTGAGTTATTTAAAGTTATTTTCTCACTTCTTTTTTTTTCATTAGGGAATAAACCTGAGCGGTGGACAGAAGCAGCGCGTGAGTTTAGCCCGCGCTGTTTACTTCAATGCTGATATCTACTTGCTGGATGATCCTCTTAGTGCAGTAGATACACATGTTGGAAAACACATCTTTGATAAAGTTGTTGGTCCCAGGGGAATCCTAAAAAATAAGGTTAGTTTTTCTAGCTGTCAAGTCATGACACTGCAGCACAGCGGCCATTACGGATGAAGGGTCAATGGTGCGTACAACTAACCTGCCAACTCCGAATGAATCCGTTAAGGCAATGTTACACGGGACAATTGGCAACGAAGATTTGCAGCACGGCAGAGCGATGCAACATTATTGCGACATTTTTTTCGAGTTGGCTCAACATTGTTCCAATATTGTTGCCCTAAAAATCGTCGTGGCAGATCGTATCGTGTAACAACACTTTTAGTCGTTGCCGCAACCAGTATCAAGTGCAAATCTGTATTCCTGCGCGCATAACGGATCGATTGCGAATATTAGGGAATACGTTTGATCTGGCTTGACTGCAAATGTTTAGCACTGGTTGCGGTCTGTCTTAAGAATTACTTTCTTATTCTAGACATGCTTGTTGCTTGCGACTCATGGTATTATTATTTCGCACTTTTTGCTATCCATCTTTCGTATTATGTAGAGCCTCATTCACATCAAATTTTAAACAGGTTTAAAAGCTGTTTAGTTAAACACGGTTTAAAATCGTTTCCTTTTTAAAACCTGCTTACTGACTCAAGTTAATTGTAAATTTACCTGCAAATTACAAAACAGGTTAAATTTCATTTAAATCCTGTGTAAAAACCTGTGTTCCAGTTTTCCGTCTGCGTTTTCCATTTTTTAAAACCTGGTTTGATTAAACATGTTTAGTTGGTGTGAGTAGCGGAGAACTCATGTGTGGTATTCTGTTTCTTTCTTCTTGCAATCTATTTACAGTCTCGTGTGAAACTCGTGGTATTATCTGTGGTTAGCAGTGATTGCTGTGTATCTTAATAGAATCGCTTGCTTGTAACTCGTGGTATTATCTAATTAACGGCACTGATTACTGTTTATCTTTGTAGACTCGCTTGCTTGTAACTCATGGCGTTCACTTCCTACCTCAAGTGGATCAAATTATCGTCATTAAAGATGGAAGAATTTCAGAGGTTTGTTTAAAAGAAAATCCATTTTCGCTTGGTTTTGCAGTTTGGTGTTTGAAATAAGTTCTGAGGTTTTGGCTTAATAGTTCGTTTATTATATACATCGTGAAACTGTTTTTAGTCTTGTGCAAGTACTGCATTTTTTGTTGTTGTCGACTGTTCTTTTGAAATGCATATTGTAAAACTCTGTTGCTAAAATCAACGCTAAGGCATGTTATGATATGTTGTCTGGTTCAACAGAGATTACGGATAAATTCTTTCAAACATTCAGCGCATCACTGAGTGTAATCTGTACATTCCATATTGGGAGACACTGCGGAAGCCTTTAGGACTGTAACTGGTCAATGTGAAAAAAACAGCATCTAAGTAAATAATAGTGCTCAACAGCGAAGTCAACAATTATAAATAAGGTAGGCCTGTTATCGCGGCTGATATAATTTTATTTTTCAGTGTGGAACCTACGCTGAGTTATTGGCTAATTCTGGAGCTTTTGCGGAATTCCTACAAACGTACACATCAGAAAATCATTCAGTTAATTCGTCAGGTAACTGTTTTGTTTTGTTGGGATACTGCTGTTTTTAGAACGCAAAGAATAATCTCTTACTTTCTACTGCTTCCAGGAGATTCTGAATGGTCTTTTAAAAGAAGTGTTTCTAGGACAAGCACAACCGATGTTAAAGAAATCAAGGATATTGACGATGAAAAGGACGATGAAACGGGAAAGATTATTAACAAGGAGAGATCAGAGACTGGGAGGGTAAGGCTCTTTATATACGGAGAATTTAACTTGTCTGGTAGTAGGGTCACTCGCCTACCCGAGCTATCCTGAGCGAGCCGACTTTTCATACATTTCCTTACACAACGTGGTGAACCGTCTAAAAGGGAAAGTAAAGGTTGACTCAGGTAGAGGGGTGACCCGCCTAGCCTGGTCACCCTTCTAGCTGGGCCAACTTTTATACCTATAAACACTTTCGCTCGCCCAGCCGGGTCAACTCGGTCAAGGTGAGACAATCAAGGAGCATGCACGGCTGCTGTTTTTAAACTATCAGATCATGTGCGAGCGCTTTTGGCCCGGGCAAAGGATGGCACTCATCTCCATACTCCAAACTGACATTTCCCTCTCACAAGTCATTCTGCCGAGACATTTCCGTTTTCCTACATTAAATTTCAAGGTCTCTTGAAGTTTCTGCTTGAGAGATGTTCATGAAAGTCTAAGGGGTGTTTACATGAGAAAACTCGCACCGGTGCGAGTTTCGTACCGGGATGACTTTCTGATTTCGCATCGCGTTTACATAATGACTGGGTCATTTCATATCTCGTTATTTGAAGGTACACTCCAGGACGATTCAAAATCGCAACATTACGCATGCGCTACCCGTTCCAGTCTACCGGGAGACCGATTTCACACCGAAACGGTTGGACGTTTCGCGTTTACGTGATACCGTTACGAGATTTCGTACCGGAGGAAAATTCTCGCCCCGGTACAAGAACCGGGCTGAACTCACGTCGGGGGATGACTCGCGCCGGCATGACATTTTGTGGTGGTATCATGTAAACAAATATAGAGTCCATGAGAGGAAACCGGAATGAACTCGCTCCTAGGCGAAAGTCGCCCCGGTGTCATGCAAACACCCCCTAAGTCTCTTCAAGTTTTTAAGGGAAAAAAAATTCACAAAGGTGTGAGAAGGAATAGAACCCGGAGCGAAGAATCTGCAGTCCATCACCTATAGCACTACACCACTGAGGATTTGTTGGCGTTTGATGGTGTGATTTGAAGATACATAGCAACAACCCTAACCCCGAATAGAAGCTAACCTTTTATTCGGTCAGTGCTTAACCCTAATCACTATTCTCAGGGCTTAACGTTAATCAGTATTGATGGTCAGTGCGGGTCCTTTTTTGTAGAGAAATACTTTATGTATGGATCATAATGTGTAAACGTCATTTTGGAGTATAAGCTCCGGGCAAAGAGGTCAACTTTTTTCTCCTATAAACACTCGCTAAAGCTGTTTCGGCTAGGAGGGTGACACTTAATAAACCCGCTTCATATCTGAAGAGTATCGGAGTAATCTCAGCACTACAGGCATTGACCTAACTGCATACGAAGTGAATTCGTGTGCGGGTTTAATGTACGGTTTTACGGTGTCCGCTGGTGTGGCTTAGCTGTGGCAAGTGTGGTATTCATCCTTTGGACTGAGAAGCCTGTCCCAAGACCTTACTTTCTAAATACCCTAGGTTCGTTTCTCCTTTATGTGAATTTTATTGTGTGCTCTTTTGTCCAACAATTGCAGAACGATACCTAACGCCATAAGGGGTCAATTTAGAGACTGGGTCCTGAGAGCTTTAAAAACCTTTACAGTTTTTTGTTTTAACGGTCGACTCTCTAAGACGGTGTACCTTTGGGACCGGCACTATGAGTCCAGATGTCCCTCTTATAGAGAGTCAACTGAAATAGTAAAGAAAGGCTGGGACGCAAGTTTTGGGTGTCCATTTTGGCAAGGTGCCCGTCAAAAGAGAATTGACTGTATTTTAAAAGCATTTGTACAGCTAATTTGCTTCTTTTGTGTTTAAGGTCAAATTCTCTGTACTTGTATCATACCTTAAGTCTATTGGTACTTGCATGTCACTGACTATCATCTCCATGTTCCTGATGATGGAAGCTTGCACAGTTGGCGCGGGAGTGTGGTTAGCTTACTGGAGCTCTGCAAATATAACGACAAATGAAAAAAGAAACTTTTATCTCGGTGTTTATGGTGGTATTGGACTTGGTCAAGGACTGTTCACCTTTCTACAGGCTATAACTGTTGTTCTTGGATCCATGGTGGCCTCGCGCAGGTCAGATGTTTTACCTTATTTTCACATATTAAGTAGTAAGTGAGAAAAAAAAGGTTGAGCATCACGCCAAAGAATAGCTCAACAGCTTTCACTAAAGCTATAGTTTCAGTCCACTGACTCTAAGACGGACACCTTTGGGATCGCACTCAGAGTCCGTCTCAGAGAAATGTCTGTCTTATAGAGAGTTAGCTAAAACAAGTGAAAAGAAGGCAGGGACCACTTCTAGGTGTTCGTTTACGCGAGGTGTCCTTTAAGAGAGAGCTGAATGAGTTAAAAGTAACATTGTAGAGAAAATGGGTGTTACTTGGCGATGCAGAAAGTCCGGGACTCCCCTATATAAGCCATGTAGGTTTGTGCCGCCCCAAAGGGTAGGGTTTTGCGCCGTTTTGGTCTGGAATCGGGTGTGGCTTTCAAGGGAACTCCGGGTGTGTCCGAACGTATTTATCGTTTCAATTCCAAATGAGTAAGAAAGAAAGAGAAATAGGCAAGTCGAATGGGATTTTAAGATATCTTTTTTGTTGCTGTTCTAATCTAAGTATTGATGACATAATTTCTTTAAGGCCAGGTCTGAGAATGGGTATAGATTTTTATAGAGGCCACTTTCCCCTTCGCACTGTGCACCCGTCCGCAAAACCAAGAAACTACCGAAAAGATTTAAGCACCGCGGGGCCAAAGTACATGCAGCTCAACAGCTTTCACTTAAACTATGGATATGTAGGAATCTCCTCCTTCTCCGGAGATAAGAGTAGAGCGTTCTCGTACAGCTAGCGTATATATTTTAACAAGAGAGGGTAATCCTCTCTTCATTTTGCCCTTCGTCTGATCATATGGAGATCGTGTCTAAAGTAAGTGATCGTAAGGTAACTTTAAACATCGTTCGATCATGATTCAAACGGTGCACACCCGCTTTGAACAAAGAAAAAAACTAAAGGATCCCTTCAAAAATATCCGGGAACGTATGGATGGGACTTTAGTTAACATGGTACAATACATTTCCTAGGAACTTCCCTCTTTTTCTTTACAGGTTGCATAATATACTTTTGAATAACATCATGCGTGCACCGATGAGCTTTTTTGATACAACTCCTCTTGGAAGAATTGTAAACAGATTTTCGAAGGACATGGATGTCATTGACGAGAACTTACAGCGAGCTTTAACGGACTTTCTTTGGTGTTTCTTTGACGTGATCGGGATGATTGTGGCAATCAGTTATGCCACTCCACTTTTTTTGACGATACTACCGCCCCTTGCTGTTCTCTACGTATTTATTCAGGTGAGAATTCAAGCCACCACCTCTAGTCACTGCGGGGCAAAGGTGTTGCGTGTTTAACCAACCTTTCTCGGGAGTCTCTGGGTTCGCACGTTTGCAAGGTAAGGAAAAGCCGAGGAAGAACTGGCTCGCAGGTCTGGGAAGAGTCTCTCGTATAAAAGTCACAGAGATTCTCTTAATTTGTCGCGCTTAGAGATGTGAACGTTCAAATGTTAGTCTTACTAGGGGTGGTCAGGACGGAAAGCTAATATTTTTACTGATACGGATACCTCTTAGGATAGGATGCAACTATATATACAAAGAAAACGAAACGCGGTCAGCTGGCAATTGGTTACCTGTTCCAGTGTGGTCTCCTTCAGCAGTGCAATTAAAACCTTTCCAAGCCCAGGTTAGAGACCTTCTCCCCTCGGGCGCGTAGGATACAGTGTTGGGAGGACTCGCCTCCCCTGCGCAGTTCGGTCTCTTCCCCTACTCCTAGACTTAGCGCTATATGTAGGTTGACTTTGTTGTTTGTTCTCCTCCTGGCTCCATGTAATTTTTCTCCCCGTACCACCAGTTTTAAATCCTTCAAAATTCCAAGTGGCTTAAACTTAGAAACAAAACCACACAAAAGACGAAAAGCTGTACTGGAAAGAATGCAGCAGCTAAGCGCGAAAACAGAAGGACAATGGTAAGGGTCGGAAAACGTTCATGCATACGATTTCCTTTATTTGCTAGAGTACGATGCAAGCCGAGACCATTTTCTAAATATTCTCTCCACAGAGAGTTTATGTGGCCACTTCCAGACAGTTGAAAAGAATCGAGTCCGTTAACCGTTCACCGATCTACAGTCACTTTTTGGAGACGATCAATGGTGCCTCAACCATCCGGGCATTTTCACAACAGCAGCGCTTTATTGGGGATAATTATCACAGAACAGATGAAAATCAAGTTGCGTACTATTTATCAGTATCCTCCAATAGGTAAGAAGTGTTTTCTATCCAGAATCTTGTACGTTGCACTCAAAGGAGAATTGAAAGGTTAGATATGTAAGTAAATTGACAGGACCACACCACATAGCTTGTAACATTGACTAAAATGCCAAGCTTAGTAAGTGTGGTCTAGGCAGAAGCACTGAACAAATTTAAGTTGGTCTTGGTTCTGCAGCTACCAAAATAATTACAAGGTACAGTTATATCGCACATTCTCGAGGACGGTTCGCTGATTCAGACGCCTCGAATCCAAGACAATGTAGGATATTTAGCTGTTCAAGTGAGGTGGCCGTGCACATGTTTGAAAATGTCTTTCTTTTCACAGATGGCTTGCAGTTCGTCTTGAGTTCATTGGGAACTGTTTGATATTATTCGCCGCATTGTTTGCTGTTTTAAGCAGAGATAAAATCATGAGTGGATTAGTAGGCATGTCATTAACTTATTCATTACAGGTATGACCGCTGTAGACGAATAAATGGATTTATTGCGGGCTCCTCTTGTCGCTCGCAATCCTAATCTCCAGGTTTTTATTACGCATGCGTCGCATGTATGTAGCCAGCATTCGTTTGGACTTCCACTAAGAATGAATGGAATGCACAGAACGCAATTTGATCACGCGCGTTTGAATTTGCTATCACTCTTAGTATGATCACACGTGTTTTGACTATGTGTCGCGTGAAACTTACGCAAAGCACAGCGATGGAGCAAAAGCGCTTCGTCGTCGCCCGCACTCCGTAACCTATGTTTATTACCAGTTATCTATTCTAAACATTTCGCAGTTTCTAACTAGCTCCATGCCCCGGCTAATTCTTCATAACCAGCTGGCGCTTACTTTAATTAGACGTGGATGGATGCGAGAAATACCTTATGCGAGAAATGCCTTATTCATATCTGAACTGCGAAAATGAAATGAAAATGAAGAAATGATCGTCGAGTGAACGCAATTTATGTAATTGCCATTAATTGCGTAAAGAAGCCTGAAAAATTTCAGGACTTCAACGGGGTTTGAACCCGTGACCTCGCGATACCGGTGCGATGCTTTACCAACTGAGCTATGAAGCCACTGACGTTGGGAGCAGGTCAATTGTGGGTTCATATGTTCCCGTGAAAGAAATGAGTGTTAATGATATGTGAAGTCCTGAATTTTTTTCAGGCTTCTTTACGCAATTGCATAAATTGCGTTCACTGCGACGATCATTTCTTCATTTTCATTTCATTTTCGCAGTTCAAATATGATTTATTTCATATATCATTATCACTCATTTCTTTCACGGGAACATATGAACCCACAACTGACCTGCTCCCAACGTCAGTGGCTTCATAGCTCAGTTGGTAGAGCATCGCACCGGTATCGCGAGGTCACGGGTTCAAACCCCGTTGAAGTCCTGAATTTTTTTTCAGGCTTCTTTACGCAATTGAATAAATTGCGTTCACTGCGACGATCATTTCTTCATTTTCAAATAGTATTGAATTTTGCGATTTTTACGAGTTTTGCGATTTGGGAAACATCGCGAAATTTAATACTCGCGAAATCTAAAAATCCCTGAAAATCGCGAAATGAAATACTCGCGAAAAGTGAGAATAGGTATACCTTAAAGTCGATCAACCTCGTTTCCAGGCGCGGCAGCCTAGCTGTTTAATTAGTCACGGTTATTCATACACTAAATATCTACGTTGAGCGTATTCCTTTTGCTTCTTAGTCTCGGTCCGTTCTTTTTGTATGGTTATTTAGGCCTTGTCCACACACATCCAGATATTTTTGAAAACGGAGATTTTTCCCTCCGTTATCGAAGAAATACGCGTGCACACATGGCGTATGAGAATCCCGTTTTCGCCCGTCCACACGAAAACGCTAATACGATTGAAATACGATAGCATCATTCATTTTTTTTTTTCGCCATTTACCGGAAATACAACAACAATAATCAGAAATTTATAATACATTAAAGACAATATACAATATTTTAACTACAGAGCATGCGCTTTATGATGTATGACATCATCGTTTTCGAAAACCTCGGTTTTTTCCTAGCTGTCTACACGAAATAGTAAGGCGGTGTTATCAAAAAAAATACCTTCGGGCCCCCTTTTAGAAAACCTGCGTTTTTAGTGCCCGAAAACGCCTTTTACGTTTGGACGGAAGGCTAAAACGGAGAACAAATTCTCCGTCTTCTTAGATATCCGGATACATGTGGATGCGGCGTTACGTTGTCCTTCTCTGTAGAGAAACATCGTAGATTCTCACTCAAATTTTTATTATTGTTTTATTATTAAGATCACTGATACGCTTAATTGGATGGTGCGAATGACAAGTGAATTGGAGACTGATCTCGTTGCTGTTGAAAGAGTGAAAGAATATTCAGAAACAGCTACTGAAGTGAGATTCTTTTAACTTTAAAAAATGTTTGTTTTTAAATTTTTATACATTAGGTGCTTACAATTAATCGTGACATACCAGTTTTGTTATAGAAAGCGTTAAATAAACTGACAAGTAGGTCTTATTTGATTAGTAGCATTGAAAGATTTTATCTATTGGCATAAAAACGTAGGAAAACGAATGGTGCTGAAAATGATTATGTTTTACAGCATACTAAATATTGCCTCATAAAAGTGTCCCTTACATTTTGTTCCTTTCCCTTACATTTAGCTTAATAACGAATAAATTGTCTTATTTATGGATTGTAGCGGTAAATCTTCATTCAGTGAATTTTTCTTACATAACCGTCGTCGCAGCATACTTACCTTCAATAATTTACGTCACAGATTTTAAAGAAAGTGCTTTTTAAAAGGTTTCTTTACTATTACAAGAAATAAGGAGAAGTTATGCAACTAATGCCAGGCATTTAAAAACAAATAAGCGTTTGACTTAGATTTCACTTCAGACCCCATTTCATCGACCAAAAGGTTTAGCAAGTTGTTTGTAAACAGCCGACTTAAATATTTGTCCTCCTTTGTATAGTCTCTGTCACATAGTCTTTGTCTGATTTGCTTTGTAACAGGCCGAATGGATTAAACCAGACAATCGACCCCCAGATGACTGGCCTAATACCGGTGGTGTTGTCATAGAAGAATTTGACTTGAGATACAGAGAAGGATTGCCTCTTGTACTTAAACAGATCAACTGTGATGTTAAACCGGGAGAAAAGGTATTCAGTATTATGGTGTTTTAACTATTGATTTAACAGGAAGATTCAGCTCAACACACTTGTTGGGGGATGCTCAAACTTCGTACCTTGGTTGAAGATTTCGTAAACAACACAACCGAAAAGGAAAATGTTAGTTATTACGTGGTACAAAGAAAGACTGTTTCAAGGTAAGACTTAACATTGCCTTTCAATCTTGTCGTTCCAACAGATTGGTATTGTGGGCCGCACAGGAGCTGGCAAATCGTCCCTGACTTTAGCTTTGTTTCGCATTCTGGAGAGAGCTGGGGGGAGGATTTTAATTGATGGAATTGATATCGCTACGGTTGGACTGCAGGATCTACGCTCTAGACTCACTATCATTCCACAGGTGACAACATTTATTCTGAACCAAGCTAAAGAAGCAACCACTATCTTTCCACCCGGTAGTGACAGTAGAATATAGTATGCACAAGGGGGATGAATAAATTGCATAAGCCTGTGTTCTGGAGAAAACTGCAAGAAAAAGCTCTTTCGCATACCATTGGACTCCACATAAGTTTAATACGCCTGGTCAGAGTAGGCACGTAAGGTGTGCACACGTTTGTGATTTATGCTGCGTTCGATTGACCTTATTCTTGAATCGGAGTACAAAGAATAATCCAGATTATCCGTTCGGTTGACCTGCTTTTCCAGTTCTGGAATAATTTTTGCAAGTATTTTGCTTCAGGGAGTAGAATGCTTGGAATAAAACGGAATATCGAGATCATTTTTCGGTTTTCTTAAAACAAAGACGGAGTTTGCGTTCTAGTCTTGTTATCAGATTCCAGAGGCATTGAATTAAAGCGTTAAGCTTAAAGTACCTGACATAATTAAGTAAGTCTGCCATAGTTCCTAAGCGTAGCATTAAACACTCGCTTTTGAGACTCTCTGGCCTTCGGCTTTACTTTTAGCCTCCCGTGCTGTGTTATAACGACAGAAACGATGACACCACCGTAAGGAAAAAGCTGTTTTACTTTGTTTGTCAAAGCAACTGTGCATTTTGATTCATTAAGAGATTTCTCTCTCATCAGGACCCAGTGTTGTTTTCTGGAAGTGTCCGTTCAAACCTTGACCCGTTTAATAAACACAGTGACGAGGAACTGTGGAAAGCACTAGAAGTTAGTCATTTAAAGAGTTTCGTTTCCGGACTGAGTGACGGACTACAACATAAGATAACAGAAGGAGGAGAAAATTTAAGGTGATATGTTATAACATATTTCAGTGAGCCTTTACATTTTATTGTACAATCCTTTCGACTAGAGATTTAAATTTGCTGTAGAATGAAGCCCTATTGGCCTTTAATTTGTAGAGCTAGTTTCTCATTTTATGCAAGTGATTGGCTGGAGCTTCACGTAACCTATGGTTTATCAGTTTGTCAGGCGCATATTTAACTCACCTTAGGGGCTGTTTCCACTAAGTTCCCGGACACCGGTGCCTGGCTGCGGGCACAAAATGGTGTTGTAATCACACCCTAGGTACCATATATATAATTGTGCATATAGTTGCTCCATTTTTCCTGTCAGACACCATTTTGAAACTTGACCGTAACAGGCAGTTATGGATACGCAAAGCAGTGGATTGCTTCGGAATTAAGGGACAATGTGTGCACACATTGACACGGTGCCTACTTAAGTGTCTGAGAGCAAGGTCTTAACCTTGTACTTTGGCACCGGCACCTTCCGTGAATTCTGGCTTGGCAACTTGACAAAAACGGTGTGTTCACGTTAATGCCCAGCGAGTACCGTGAACACTGCCTTAGAAGCCAAATGTGGGTCTGAGTAATATTTTGTAACTTTTGCTCGGCTGTCCCTGTAATGACGCCAAAGCTCTAGAGAAATACATGAGGCATCCCGGATAGGTTAAGCTATGTAGTTATATTAACACAATGTCCTTTTTCCCGCAGTGTCGGTCAGCGACAGTTAGTATGTTTAGCTCGCGCGTTACTCCGCAAAAGCAAACTCCTTGTTCTTGATGAGGCCACAGCTGCAGTGGATCTGGAAACAGACGAACTCATTCAACAGACAATTCGGCGCGAGTTTGCTGACCGCTCGGTGTTCACTATTGCTCACAGGCTCAATACTATCATGGATTATGACAGGTGAATGGGAGGTGGAGTAGAAGAGGGCTTGCGCGAGTCAGAAAATGTGGCCAAAATACAAAGCACGGCACGTTCTTTATTTACGGTTCCATATCTTTACTCTTTCATATATCACCTTCCGGTTTTTTTTTTCTTTTTTTCAAAAGTAGGCCGCTTGTACTGAATTGACATTTACAAGTTAAGACTCATTGTCAGTCACTTCAAAGCCGTCAAAACACACGTTATGCCGAACAGACGAGATATTAGGAAGCTTAAGCAAAGACAACGGCGACGACAACGAAAACGACAACAACGCAGTGGGCGAAATTAGCAAAACAACAACTCTGCACGTTCATCACGCTTTTTTGTCCATTTCTTTGCCGTCGTTGCAAGTATAAGACATGAAACTTCTTAATTTCACGTTCTGTGGAGGACGTCAATACAAGGCAACGAATTTCTATTTCTTTTTCTGAATTTGCATACGGCGCTTAAGAATTCAACTCCAGAGAAATTTACCAAAATTTGACAAATTGAACGCGATGGAATAAGCGCTTGTAAGTTTGAACTTCTTAAGTGACGTTTTCGCAGCCGCCGCCTTCGTCGTTGCTTAAGCTCCCTATTACTGGGATTTGGCATACCTTAGTTTCCTTCATACCTTTTTGATTTTTAAAGGAAATTTTCTTTCAATCCAAGGGGAAATACCTCACCCATTACCCCTGCATTGTTTTACCATCCTAGTCTGTCTCTGAATAGGAGATTAAAAAAGATTTGTGTACTTGTCTCTCTCTAGGGTCTTGGTTCTCGATAATGGCGCCGTCGTCGAGTTCGATTCCCCTTCAAATCTGTTGAGTTTAAATGGCGTCTTCAGGAAAATGGCTCAAGATGCAAATTTGGCGTAAGTCGTTCTGTTTCGCCATTGACTCTCTACGGATGACGTGCTTTATTGGTGTAAAAGAAGTTTCTGGCGAGAAGGAAATACTGAGGGTCGCCGTTGTTACACAGCCAGGAAATATCCAATTGCAATTTCGTCACGAAAGAAAACAGTGACCTGAGTGGTCAATTGGACACTACTGGACCCCAGGTCACAGTATCGGAATATAATTATATACTATGATAATTTATATATTTTAACACTTTCTTGAAAATTTTTTAGAAAAATTGTTTACCTCTATACGAGGAGAAACAGGTCTATAAAGGCGTGATCGCCTAGTGTATTGTCAACTCTAGAACCTGTCTTTGCTCGTAACCTATTGTTATAGTTCTTAATAAAGAGGGACAATTCTTACCGTGGATTATTTACGAAAACTGAACTCGGTCAGCCACTGTGAAGCACATCCCACGAATGGACGACTTTCCAGACTCCCTAAATAGCGCAAAAATGTTTACAACCTCGGACCTGTGGAGAGGTTTATAAGATGCCGTTTGGATTAAATGCAGCCCCATTTTCATTTCAGCGCACGAATTACAGAGTCTAGTCAGGTCTAAATCGTATTATTTGCCTGTGGTATCTTGATACAGCTGTAACGGTATTATTCACTTTAGTAAGACCAACATTGCGATTTCTTTACGACAGCACAACTTATTCGTTCCAAGTGCAACTTTACCGCAATAAAAGTTACGGAACTAAGGTCACATGATCTCAACTTTCGATATGGCGTTTCCCGCAACTTTCGAAAGCACATGCCATTTAGAATTTGTGCTTTCCTGACAGGATCGCTCTTTAACTGTACCACTGTGTGCGAATGCGCTTTCCGGACGATTAATTTAATACACACGCCTCAGATTTGTAGTAGGCGCCTTCCTTGTCGCATTTTGACGGTAATGTTATTAAATAATAATAAAATAATCGCTAGGCAGGGGTAGGCGCTTCCGGCGAACCCTTCTCATTCTACTTTTTAACGCCATCAGGCCAGTGCAAATTCTTAAGTGAAATTTACCTTAACACCTATTTCTAGGGACTTTGTCGTCAAAAACCTGAAGGCAATTAACACCAAAAAGTCCTCTGGCTTAGCTGAAATACTGTCGCGTCTCCTAAAAGATAGCGCTGAAGCCCTGGCGGAACCTCTTTTATTGCTGATGAATAGGACCATCTATGAAGGGTCAATACCATCTGATTAGAAGGATGCTGTGGTTACACCTGTTCATAAGGCTGACTCCAAAACAGATCCTTCAAACTTTAGACCCATCTCAGTTCCCTTTTTCTCAAAGATACTTGAGCGTGCCGTTCATCATATGGTCTACAAGTACCTCCAAGATAATAAACTTCTGTCCTCTCACCAATCTGGTTTTCGCTCCCATCACTCAACTTCTACCTGTCTTACACATGTAACTAATACTTTACAACACCGATAAAGGATTGCTTACTGGGCTGGTTTTTTAGACCTAAGTAAGGCGTTTGACACTCTAGATGACAATGTTACGATGTTTAATAAGTTATCCCTGTTCGGCTTTCCGCCGTACAATGGTTCTCCTCCTACCTAACTGACTTCACCCAAAGCATCACTGTAAATGGTACTGGTACTATCTCCGAACCTATGCCGATTGAGTTTGGGGTCCCTGAGAATGGTGTTTTTTTTTTTAAATATATTTATTGATGAATTATTGAACTGACAATGAGCACCGCGATCACAAACACGCAACAAATAGAAACCGTAATCATACAATAGATATTTATTTCAAGGCAAGCACGTGCCAATCGCTTGTTAATCTATGGAGAGCTTTATCAACACACGTCAAAACAAGACGTAGAGAAACAAAGGTCTTCCTCGCTAGCTTCACGGAACATCTGCGTAGACTGCCTTGCGATCGGACGGCAAGATAATCAATGTCGACGGCCAAAACACTCCCTTTGACTTAACAAAAGATATATTTGGAATAGTAAAACGAAAATTGTAATATATCGACACAGCAACGGTACAGAGGGTTTCATCGGCGAAACACGTCGCTTTCCACTGTTGTTCAACTGTCGCATCCTGTTAAACTAATAGGATCACGTGCGTTCGGAAGCTTGATAATATAGTATGAAGCGATGCATTATGGGATATATGAAATTCCCCCTTTGAGTAAATTAAAGACTAACTCGAAGTGATCTCAAGATATCACGAAGTATTCCGGTCATATTTCCTGAAATAGCCGAAACAAGCCGAAAAGTCATGAACTTGCGCGCCCAATCTTGTCCCGAAACTACTGCAAATTTCATAAATATTTTTCAAATCCCGAACTACCTTGGGTCGCAGTAGCGCAATCGGCTAATCTCTCAACTTAGAGTCTCCTCTGATCTGACGGGCCACACAGGTGAGTCGGTTCAAACCCCGGGAGAGCCAAACTAATAATTCTTTCTTCCTCGTAAAGGTTAAAGAATAAATCAAAGGGATCGAAGTGATCTCGAGATATTTCGAACTAATTCGGCTCTCACTTCGCCAAATAGCCGAATAAAACCGAAAACCTACAGACTTTGCGTGCCCAATCGTGTCCCAAAATGTCAACTTTGATACATTCCTGAGCGTCGCGAAACCTTTACTTCGCTCTCCGCCAAAGTAAAAAACGATTAGTTTGATTGACGGGTGAATACATGATTGAATGTGTAGCCGTAAATAGTAGATGCGAAAAAGTTAGATCTTTACCTTATCTTCAAACGTGGCAAATCATAGTTTTAATCTTTTTGTAAGCTTTAGCATCAATGATTGAAAAGAAAACATCGAAAGTTTGAATTACTGTTCCTTCTGAGAAGAAATGTAGAGCTTTAAAATTGTTTCCGTCAACTCACTCTTTTGTCGCTTCTTGCAATTGCTGTCAACAGCGGCCACGATCGATCGAGGTGATTGTTGTGTATCTGCAGTGTCCTTTGCCTTTCTTTGTTCTTGTTAACTTGCTGGCACGTACAGTTTTCGAAAATATTTTCTTTTCTTTTTTTCTCCATAAATTCAATGCTATTTATAGGCAAAAAGAAGAAGAAGAAGAAGAAGAAACATCTGCCCAATCTGCCCAGTCCCTGGGAGTACATATTGATGAGGCGCTTACATGGGCAACACATACAAAGGAGACCTCAAAGAAATTAACCAGCGCAATTGGAGCATGTGATACAGTTTGTTCCTCCGTCGACCCTCCAAACAATGTACAACTCTTTTATCCAGCCGTACTTTGATTATTGCAGCAATGTTTGGACTCAGAACGAGCTCTGAAGCTTCAAAAACTACAAAACCGCTCGGCTAGGATGACAACTGTTTCCAGATTGACTTAATCGTTCCGGCCCCCTACCGCAAGAGCCAGTTTGATACAGGCTTTTCTGTTCTGTCAGAGAAGATTGTGATTTTTACTTTTGGGCTTTTTGGGCGTGATCCCCTACTCGCAAGTTGCAAACCTCCTAATAGTGGCCACCCTCCAACATCAACCCCCGACAGACGTCGTCCTAATGTCGAATACTGGTAGGTTATTAGTTACGGTTTTAGCTTTTTTGTGGACAAGGACGTAACGGGAAGTCAATGAAAACGCGGAATTAAAAAAGTCGAGGCCAGTTTCAGCCCTCTTGATCGAGCAAGAGTGGTTCATAAACGCTTTGCTTTATGGCCAAAATCATTGTGTTATATTACATTGTTTATGCGGCAACAAAGCGGGAAACCCCGGCCAATGTACCCTCCCTGGTGGCCAATCAAAACATAGGAATCAGTTAATCGTGCCGCTCCGGAATTACTACGCGAAAAAAAAAACGAGGTCAATTTTCAGCCATCTTGAAGGAACAAGTGTGGTTAATAAAGGCTTTGCTTTATGACCAAAATATTGTCTTAAATTATATTATTCATGCGGCAACAAAGGGGGACCCCCCCTCCCCATGTACCCTCACTGGTAGCCAATCAAAACACAGGAATCAGTTAATCGTGCCGCTCCCGGAAGTACTACTGTACAATTTGTTGGCACTTATAACAGATAAGTTCAACTCAAATGCGTGAAGTTTACCAAGCGATATTATGAACAATATTAATACTTGTTGGTAATTTGCGAAATTTGAATATGTTTAAGGCACGTTTAAAATAGAAGTGAGTTGTTCTAATAAATTGTCTTGAATCGAGTTGACTTAATTCGCTGCCGTTCGGCACACTGCATGAATTGATTCTTTTTTAACCTTTTCTCAGTTTCAACTCTCAGTGAAAATACCTGACTCTCTCACACTCTCAGCTTTTCAGTGAGAGCTGCAAATGTTTTAAAATTGCTTTCGAGTGACTGTACCGTCTGGCTGGACTATCTCATCTCTAACAAGGACACTGTAAACTGCCGTGTTTTTCTTAGGAATGCAGGGGAAATACAAAGCCTCCACTGGATCGATCAACATCTGTTGAAGTAATTTCCAACAATCAAAAGCATAAATTCAGAGAGGTGACGAAAGTGTTTCACGTTACTGAGGTAAGTTGAAATAGAATGGAATCCTTAGCGTATTTAATTTAGGAAAGTGTGATGGAATGGTATGGTCCTTTCTTAGCGAAAAATATTCCATATAGGCTGTATATCAGTTCAATCATTTTTTTTTTCTGTCGCTTGTTCTGTGACTGTTAATACAATTGAAAATGTTGGCGTGATGTTGCACAGAACAGCGATCACTTCATATTTCAAGCCTTTTGCTTCTGTGTCGATTTGTGTCTTCATCTGTATTCATTTTCGACACCCTTGGATAAAAAACTTGCGCAACATTTGAGTTTTATTAAAAATGAATTCAATGTAAAGTTGCTAAATCGGTTGAGCGCACATTTTTTTCTCAAATTCAATTTGGACTTCTACTTCCGCAAAGGTAACCTGGGCGGCCGTATATTTCTAACTTTTGGCTTTGTTAATAATTAAATGAAAACCTGAAATTTGGCTATATATTTTCTCATTGAAGAGAAGACTAGTGAAGGAAAGCATCAGCTAAATAATACTGGAACTGAAAGGAAAGTTGAAATTTCTGTCTTATGTACTGCCTTGTAAACTGAAACAGGAAGTTTGGTTGTAATGGCATTCTGGTATATTCCGAATTTAAATTATTTGGTGTACAAAAGACTATCTTATCAGCAGATTTATTGCTTGACCAATAAACACTTGATTCTTGCCTTGCCTATAGCGTTGCATTTGACTTTGCATATACCACAGACACGCAACGTATTGTTCAT